AATTTTTACATATTATAAATATATTTAATATTATGGGTTTTACATAAATAAAAAAATTAATTATTTAAATAATAAATATGAATTTTTTTTGTATATCTATAATAAATTATATAAGAATGAATAATCTCTATTTATTTTCAAATTTCTTTCCAATTGACTCAAAACTTAAATTTAACATTTTTAATTTAAAATTACAAACTCTTAACTGTTAAATCACTTTATTAAAGTTAAATAATACATTTGATTGTGTAAAAAAATAATATAAAAGTATTCTCCCTAAATTATTTTTTAAAATTATATATTTTTTTCGAGCGGCGAACCCGCTCCGCCCTCCAAAAAGGACGGAGTAAGAGGGAAGAGACCGTTGTTTGGCTCTCCCACATAAGTGCAAAAAATCTCGGATCACTCCAATTCCATAGCCATTGTATTATCTTTCTTATGCAAATCTCAAACTACCCAACATTCTTCCTTCAACTAAAGACTGCTAACCTGCCTTCGCTTCACCGTCCTTCGCAGACACTGAAACGAAGACATTTCAATGTGAAATTGATAAAGTCTTTTCTGGGTGCCTGCCGACTTCTTTTCGATGTAATTTGAATTTGAATGAACGTGGTAAAAGCGCGCTGCACGTTCGTTAATTTTTTTATATATAGTCAAGAATTGAAAGCGCGTCGATTGTGAAAAGAGAGAAAGGAGATCATATGGAGGTGATGGAAAGCTACTTGAATGACAACTTTGGAGGAGTCAAGGCCAAGCATTCCTCCCATGAGGTTTTGCAAAAGTGGAGGGAGGTTTGCAGCGTTGTCAAGAACCCCAAGCGGAGGTTCCGATTTACTGCCAATCTCTCCAAGCGTTACGAGGTCGATGCTATGCGCAAAACCAATCAGGTTTAATTTTCTTCTTAACAGATTTGGTTCACTAAATTAATTTTTCAAAGATGATTTTTCTACTGTTTGTAATTCTGCACTTAAAAAACATCAACTTAATGTTGGATGATTTTTTTTTATGGTCTTTTTCACACCCTATAACAATTTTTTAAAATGCATTCTATCTTGGAAAGGAAAAAAAAAAAAAAGATCATTCTCTTAATGTTTAGTCTTTAATTTTAAAAGTTGGATTTGTTTACTCGTTTCCGTATGGTACAGGCTAAGGGTGTTTATATGATTTAATTGATTTAACTCCAGTAAAAATTAAATCAAATCCATATAAAATTGAGTTGATTTAATTTATAAAATTTTAAAATTAACGTAATTGATTTAATTTGTAATTTTACCTTAATTCAAATTATTTGAATCGTCTAATTACAAAATAAAATCTAATTATAAAATAATTTGATTATATTAAATTTTTTTTTCTTGTTTCACAAATTAATAACTTAATTAACTTAATCAAAAAAAATTTAAAATAGAATATTCCCATATTCCTTAGTTTATTTTTCCTTCTTAATCATGCATCCTATCTTTAATTTTAAATTTCTAATTTGCATGCAATTTTATCTCTCAAAATTAGTCTCCAACTCTACTATGATGAGGAGTTATAAATTTGATTATGAATACTTCTAATAAATCATAATTTTAAATTTTATTTGCTTTTAACAGAGTTTAAAAAATAAGATTAAGTCATTGATACATTAAAAAAAATATTAGTTTTAATTTTTAATAATTATTTACACTATACTTGAAACTTGGAGTTATATTTTATTATCTTTTCTTTGTGCTTCTGGTGATGTAACCAAAAATAATTTTTAAATTATAAAGAAAACTCTATTATAAGATAATTTAATTATATTAAATTTTTTTTCTTGTTTCACAAGTTAATAACTTTATTAACTTAATTAAAAAAAATTAAAAATAGAATATTCCCATATTCCTTAATTTATTTTTTCTTTTTAATGGTGCACTCTATCCTTAATTTTAAATTTCTAATTTACATGCAATGCTATCCCTCAAAATTGGTCTCCAACTCTACTTTGATGAGGAGTTATAAATTTGGTTATGAATACTTTTAATAAATCATAGTAATATTCATTTTAAATTTTATTTGCTTTTAATAAAGTTTAGAAAATGAGATTAAGTCATTGATACATTAAAAAAAAATACTAGTTTTAATTTTTAATAATTACTTACACTATACTTAAAATTTAGAGTCATCTTTTATTATCCTTCCTTGGTGCCTTTCTTGATGTAACCAAGAAGAATTTTTAAATATTTTCAATCTTTATAATTGTAAAGAAGCATAAGAATATATATAATTTGTGTTTCTTTAATTGTGTTTTTACTTATTTAGATATTAATGTGTTTTATAATTACATTTTGTACTTGATGTTAAGATTTTTTACATTATATTATGTATTTAATAGTTTTAAAAACTGATTAATCTAACCAAACCATACCAATATAATTTAAATTAGATTGATTTGGTTATCATATAATAGTAAATTATATTAGTTTAAAAAATTTACTAATTGATTAAATTAAATTGATTTAAAAAATATTAAAAGCCAAATCAAACCACACTACAAACATCCTTAGTATAGGTTAACAATATATTAAATATATTTTTTATTATAAATTTATATTAAAAAAATAAAAATTAATATTTAATTTATTTATTGTTCAATTAAATTTACTTACACTAAAATTAATATTAACTTTTATATTTTTTTGTATATTTATAATAAAAAATAATTTTAATTTATACCTAAGGACAAGTATTAGAAAAAATTCATTTTAAAAAGTTAATTTTTTCAAGGAATATTATTTGGTGACCGTCTAACATTTTTCAGTCCGGACTGTCAATTTTACTATTTTTTCTTTTTTTTTTTAAGTTCTTTATTTTGCAGTCAAAATTGCTAGTTAGAACTTAGGAATTATTGAATAAAATGGACAGCCCCAGATCAAGGGGCTCGCCCCTGTGCAATGGATATTTCAGTTTGAGAAAGAACTTTAACATCTGAATTATTTTGGTGTGGGTGATGATCAACGTGCCATGCAATGCTCATGGAATCTCAAATTGAAATTTTAGATCAAGGTTCTAATTTTTCTTTTGTCCTGAACGTTGTAGGAGAAACTTAGGATTGCAGTTCTGGTTTCGAAAGCTGCGTTTCAGTTCATCCAAGGTGAGCCCTTTTGGAAGACTAATATCAAGTTTCTTGCATTATAAGGTTCTTCTTACTAACTGTTCCACCGCAGGTGTGCAGCCCAGTGACTATACCGTCCCTGAGGAAGTCAAAGCTGCTGGTTTTCAGATTTGTGCTGATGAGTTAGGATCTATTGTGGAATGCCATGATGTAAAGAAATTGAAATTTCATGGAGGAGTAGCTGGCATTGCACAAAAACTCTGCACATCAACCACTGATGGACTCACTACTACCAGTACTGATCTACTGAATCGCAGACAAGAGATTTTTGGAATTAATAAATTTGCTGAGTCTGAAGCACGAGGTTTCTGGATATTTGTTTGGGAAGCTCTTCATGACATGACTCTTATGATCCTTGGTGTGTGTGCCTTTGTGTCATTGATAGTTGGCATCACAATCGAAGGATGGCCAAAGGGAGCACATGATGGCCTTGGCATTGTTGCTAGCATACTATTGGTTGTGTTTGTCACAGCAACAAGTGATTATCGCCAATCTTTACAGTTCAAGGATCTGGATAAGGAGAAGAAGAAGATCACCATTCAGGTCACAAGAAATGGATTTAGGCAGAAAATGTCAATATATGATTTACTTCCTGGTGATATTGTACACCTTGCTATTGGAGACCAAGTCCCTGCAGATGGGCTTTTTGTCTCTGGATTTTCTGTGTTAATTGATGAATCAAGTTTGACTGGGGAGAGTGAACCAGCAATGGTGAGTGCTGAAAATCCTTATATGCTTTCAGGTACTAAGTTACAGGATGGATCGTGCAAGATGTTGGTCACCACTGTTGGAATGAGAACCCAATGGGGTAAGTTGATGGCAACTCTCAGTGAAGGTGGAGATGATGAAACCCCATTGCAGGTAAAACTGAATGGGGTTGCAACCATTATTGGCAAGATAGGCCTTTTCTTTGCCATAATAACATTTGCTGTATTAGTGCAAGGACTTCTTACCCAAAAATTGCAAGCAGGTACCTTTTGGACTTGGTCTGGAGAAGAAGCATTGGAAATGTTAGAATTCTTTGCTGTTGCAGTTACCATCATTGTCGTTGCAGTTCCAGAAGGTCTGCCACTAGCTGTAACACTGAGCCTTGCCTTTGCCATGAAGAAGATGATGAATGACAAAGCACTAGTTCGACACTTAGCTGCTTGCGAGACTATGGGGTCAGCAACAAGTATATGCAGTGATAAAACTGGGACGCTAACCACCAACAGGATGACTGTCGTGAAGTCATGCATTTGCATGGACGTAAAGGAAGTGAGCAAAGAAAATCAGGAAAGCTTCAGCTCACAAATTCCAGACTCTGCTATGAAACTTCTGCTACAATCAATTTTCAATAATACAGGGGGTGAAATTGTTGTTAACAAAGATGGCAAACGTGAGATATTGGGAACACCAACAGAGACTGCTTTATTAGAGTTTGGCTTGTCTCTGGGTGGAGATTTTCAGGCAGAGAGACAAGCATCAAGACTTGTCAAAGTTGAACCCTTCAACTCTACAAAGAAACGGATGGGAGTAGTCCTGGAGCCTCCTGAAGGTGGATTAAGAGCTCATACTAAGGGTGCTTCTGAAATAGTTTTGGATGCTTGTGACAAGGTAATCAATTCAAGTGGCGAAGTTGTTCCCCTTGATGAAACATCCATTAACCATCTGAAAGTTACTATAAATCAGTTTGCTAGTGAGGCTCTACGAACTCTGTGTCTGGCCTATATGGAGCTGGAAAATGGTTTCTCTCTCAACAATCCTATCCCAACTTCTGGGTTTACTTGTATAGGAATTGTGGGAATTAAAGATCCTGTTCGCCCTGGTGTCAAGGAGTCTGTTGCAACTTGTCGTTCAGCTGGAATCACTGTACGCATGGTTACAGGTGACAACATTAACACCGCAAAGGCTATAGCCAGGGAGTGTGGAATCCTTACTGATGATGGTATAGCCATTGAAGGTCCAGATTTCCGTGAAAAGAGTCAAGAGGAAATGCTTGCCTTAATTCCTAAGATTCAGGTATTTTCTACATTCTTTTTCTCTCTGTTTTTTTTTTTTATTTTTTTTTTAATTAAACTAGTTAACTATCAATGCCAATAGGGTACTCATAATGAGGACAGCTCATCTGATCTGTGACTCATCTGCTTACTTCTTCTGCAGGTCATGGCACGATCGTCACCTATGGACAAGCATACTCTGGTAAAGCAATTGCGAACTACATTTGATGAAGTTGTTGCTGTGACTGGTGATGGAACAAATGATGCTCCAGCACTTCATGAGGCAGATATTGGACTTGCTATGGGCATAGCTGGAACTGAGGTTAGTGAGAATCAAATTTTTCCCTTCTTCCATACCCACCAAACAAAATATGATTTTAACTACAAAATTTTAGATCTTTGGACAAGCCATCTCTATGATTAAGTGACAAATTCTTTATACTCAAAATAAAGAAGGGATCGTAATTATATATGATCAGTAATGTTTTAAAAAGGTGCAGTGCCTCATATGGAGTGGAGAGTATAGTTCAAACAGAAATGTCAGTACCTATTAACATGAAGTATGCCCCTTAATTACTGAAACATACAATTATGTTTCAATCATTTCACAATAAAGAGATAGAATTTTGGTTTGTGTGTTGCTATGTTTCCTTTTCATTGTATAGTGCACATTTTTACTTATTTGTGGTTATGTGTGGTAAGAATAATTCTGAGATTCAAACTAATCTCATTCGAACGTTCCAGGTGGCTAAAGAGAGTGCTGATGTCATAATTTTGGACGATAATTTCTCAACAATTGCTACTGTGGCCAAATGGGGACGTTCGGTTTACATAAATATTCAAAAATTTGTACAATTTCAGTTGACAGTTAATGTGGTTGCTTTGGTTGTTAACTTCTCTTCAGCTTGTTTGACTGGTGAGGAAATATATACTTTTTGTCTACTTGAACTTGGATTTTCTTAGCCGAGGAAACAACTTTAGCATTCTGCTTATTCTCTTGCTACTAAATCATGCTTCAGGGCGTGCCCCACTTACAGCTGTTCAGCTATTGTGGGTCAATATGATCATGGATACACTGGGAGCATTGGCACTTGCCACAGAGCCACCAACAGATGAACTAATGAAGCGCGCACCAGTTGGAAAGAAAGGGAATTTCATCACTAAAGTAATGTGGAGGAATATCTTAGGCCAGTCTTTTTATCAGTTTGTGGTTGTATGGTATCTTCAGGCAAAAGGAAAAGATCTATTTAATCTTGACGGCCCAGATGCTGATCTGATCTTGAACACGCTTATTTTCAATTCATTTGTCTTCTGTCAGGTAACCATTTCTATTTTCTACTTCTAATATGCATTCCAACAACTTGCATTGTGCGTAACTGTTGATGTTGTATTTTTCTAGGAAATTCAACAAAGTTCCTTCTTAAAAGTAATAGATATTGGATATATGAGTCATCCTGATGAGTAAATTTGCAAATGGGTGGTGGAATCTGGAAAGCAAGCTCTATCTGAAGCATTTGAGCCTTTACTTTTTACATGATAATATACGTTCCAAATAAGCTGTCCTGCATAATTGCATATTATTAGTTTGAGTAGCTTCAACTTCCAGTTAACTAAGAATTAGCAGTCTTTTTCCAATCTCAAATTCTCTCATGAAATATCTGCAAGTGCACTTCTTTGTAAGGAACTAAGGAAGTTTCTTGGTCTAAGTTGAATTTCATGGTTTTGACGATTCTGTTTGGAAAGTTTATGCTCTATTACCAGCATCAAATTTCACCTTTTGAGTTTCCTCATAAGAAGTTAGACTTTGAGTCCATGATATTTCCATTTTCACTCAAAGGATGCCTTGTTCTGCAGGTTTTCAATGAGGTAAGCTCACGAGAGATGGAGAAGATAAATGTTTTGAAGGGCATTCTGAACAACTACGTTTTTGTGGCTGTTCTTGGCTGCACAGTTTTATTCCAAATCATAATCATTGAATACCTAGGTACATTTGCCAACACATCACCCCTTACTTTAGAGCAGTGGTATTTTAGTGTGCTGGTTGGTTTCATAGGCATGCCTATTGCTGCTATCTTAAAGATGATCCCTGTGTGAACCATGACAAAAAACCAGAGGCAATATTTAACAAAAACCTTGATTCATTTTGAAATACTGCAAAACTTCTCCCAGAGAAATAGATTTTGTTTTTTGGTTTCCTTTTCTATTGGTTCGTATTAGGTAAGTTTTGTCTGTTTATATGGAATATACTCTTCATCTCCAAATAATTTACCCCGTAGAATTTTGTCGAGATTTATATTTATTCTTTTGGTGGGCGATGCTGGAGGTACCATTGATTTTTCTACTCTCTGTTTGTTAGCGGATGGGATGAAAGTTGTTGTGTGACTTGGGCATTTCAGTGGAAGTTGTAAAGAATTCTTTTGTAAAAACGCCTCGATGAATAAATTAAATATCAAATTCATTTTTGTTATATTAATCTAATCAGATAAATTTAGAAATACATATATTTAAAATTACATGCCGTTCAAATACAATTCAAGTTTTCAAACATAACCTTAAATAAATCTTTAATGAAATTATTTAAATAGCTTTAATGAATTTTTATCTAGTAAAAATTTAAGATTAAATACTACTTTTAGTCCCCCAACTTTAAGTTTTGCATTTTTTTTTTTTTTTTGTCTTTCAACCTTTTTTAACATTTTTTTTATCCTTCAACTCTAAAAATTATATAATTTTAATCAATCCATCAATTATCAATGACGTAACCGTTAAATAATTTCAAAATAACATTTTTTAAATTTCTTTTGATGACATGGTAATATAATATATTATAAGTTTGTTATGAGGATAAATAAAAATACCAAATCACATAAACATTCATATTTTTAATAAAATGAAATAAAAAACAATATAATTATCTCAGTATCCAATCTCTTTCTCTCGATCCATCTTTTTCCCCTTTTTCTTCCTATTTACTCCAGTTACAGTTGAACCCAACATAATTTAGGTTTTATTGAACTAGTTACTGGGTTTAACGAAACCCACTTGTTAGGTTCCGTTAAACCTAACAAATCTCATCAAATCAAATTAACTTCTCATTCACTTGGTAACAAATAATCTCAATCAAATTGTAATCAAATTCCAACACAAATGCAATGAAATTCCAGCAAATCAACTCCCAAAATTTGAAAAAAACCTACAAAGAACAAGTACAACAAGTAGATCAAGAATGAAGAATGGAAAGCCAAAAAAGAACTTACATTTGCTGGTTCCGTTGAACCCGTTTCCTGGTTTCATTGAACCCAAGCTATTGGGTTTGAGAGAACCTA